GAACGTGGTTACCATGCCGACCTGTTTATGCCTCACTGATGTGTCGTGTAAATCCATTTAGAAACGAGAAGGGCCTTTTGTCTTTGGGAGGCTTGAATGGGCCTCATTAAACCTGAAATGTGAAAAAATGGCCTTAAAGTGTGTCTGGGAGGGGGACGGGTCGAGTGGAAGGAGTGAAGAGGGCAGCCAACAAAAGCCCTCAAGTTGCTGCTTATCTCTTGGACTTTATTAATAGGGGCCTTTAACCCTTGGCAATTGAGGTGGGCTGTTTCCACTGGGGGCCCTGTAGGGTGGGCCGCCTTAGAACAACTCGCCATGGTGCAGCACCTGGCAGGATTTTACATAATTTAATTAAAGGGAGTTCTCCCTCAGTGAGGAAAGGCGCGGTCATTTAGGCTTTATTAGATTATTCCTCTGCTCCAGGCACTGGCTACCCCTCTGTTTAGATTTTTTTTCCTTAATTGAAGGAGGTGTCAGGGCTACAAAGGAGCAGACTGATGTTTTGGGATTGTTGGTGTTGTCTGGTACTGACAGGCCAGGAGTCTGGACTCCCATTCTCCAGCTCCTGGAACCACTCGGAGGAGCCACTCTGGTTGGGATTACCTCCTTGTTTTACGGCTTTATTCCTTAAATTTGACTGAAAATCTGTCAAAGACAAAAATATGCAATTACCTGTGGGTGCACACTTCTCACAAGACAACTGCTTTCTCTCCAATCTCTGTTCTAATCCTCAATGGGAATTTACAAAATGCCTTTCATGGATGAGCCTATGAACTTCGTAAATCTACTGGGTACAAAAAATCATGGATTAAATATAGGCATTGGATTTATGGCACATTATAACCTGCCTGCCATCTGATAACCCCAGATAACCTGTCTGCATTTTACCAGCTACATTCTCTCACCGGGTCAACATCACTCCCCTTCCTGCCTCCCCACCTCTGTGGCCCCTATGGTCTCCCATCCCTCTGATCCTCCCTGCCATGCACTTGCACTTTCACAGACCTGCATTTTGGCTTTTATTCCACCCAGGAGAGTGCACACACTCTCTCTCTCATTTTTTTTATAGGCAGACTCCCTATGCCTGAAGGAAGGGTCTTTGTGCCCAAAAGCTTGCGAAGAACAATGCTTCCAACTATTTAGTTGGTCTAATAAAATATATCACATTTATCCAAAGAACCTTGTCTACCTGCAAACTTAAGGAGCTGCTGTAGAAGGAACTAAAAATGATTTTTTTGCTGATCACCAGACAGAGTTTAGGTTAGAGATTCAGAAATGCTTACAGACTGTACAAAGAACATGGGTGACAAAATAAGATCCTTGGAGGGGTTGTGGAATTGCCTTTCCTGGAAACATTCTAGGCAGAGAAACTGAGCCCAGCTCGCAGGGTTGTTTAGATAGAATGAAAGCGATCCTTTTTTGAGGAGGAGGAAACAACTGGATTCTCACCCAAATAACTTTTCACATCTTTGCATAAGTCAGTGGCTTGCCTGCCCATGTTAGTCTCCCCAGGCTTGTGTGCCAGGCCTGTATTTTCACAGTGTGGCTATCCCTTTCATGCCTGCCTGGAGAACAGAGAGGAGTAATGTTGTTTTTTTTTATAGCATGATAGAACTAAAGCCAGTAATTTTAGGCAATGAAGTGAGCCAGAGAGGGATCTGTGAACAGAACCAGTCCTGTTTAATGAATTGGGGCGGTGGCATCCTCTGTCAGCCCGTGCCTTTGCTGTGGGCTTATTGCCTCTCTATAGCAGCTATTCATGGACTGTTATCTCCCATCTTTGTGCTGCGTTTTGCCCACTGTGTGGTGCCTCTTTTAAAATCTTCTATCCTTCATTTCAGCACTTCTCTCTCCTCACCTGTCGCTGCAGAAAGCCTGCCCTATCAACAGGGCTTGGGCCTGGCTCACTTCCCTGGGTTTCGTGTCTGCCTAATCGCTTGTGTTGGGAAGTTCCTGGCATGTGAAGTTTACATTCTGCATTTATTGACATCTGCGGCCCAGATTAGCTGTTTATCAAGATGAACATAAAACCCATGAGGCATAACTTCCGGAATAGGCTCCAGGGTGGGATTCTAGGAGGGGGAGGAAGGGAAGCGTTCCTTTTGAGCCACTGTTTGTATGCAAATAGGGCACCATTGTGGCTGTAGACTTGGAGCCAAGCGTGTAAAGAGATGACAAGTTTAGAGTGCCTCTGTGTACAGTATGGCGTGAAATACGGTGTGTGGGGACTCTCCTCCCTTGGACATGAAAAGATTAGACAAGCTAAAGGCCTCTGAGTAGGCATCCTCCCCTCCTGCTCCCCACAGGTCACACGCTTTCCCTTGAGGGATAAATTCCCAAGGCCATATGGTTATGCTAATGGAGTTAATCAATATTCATGAGCTTGCTGCATGCACATGGTCACCTGCTGGGTGGCTGTAGTTCAGAGTTTGATCGCAGGGAATATGCTAACTTTTGAGAGGAGGAGAGGCTGGAATTCCCAACTTGGGTATAGCAAAGAATAGTCAAGGAAATGAGAGCTAGCAATTAAAACAATGTTACTCCTACAAGATGAACCAAGATTTTGGAATTAGCCTATAGGCCTGTTAAGTATCCAGTTACCTAACACTCTGAAGCAAATGTATTTGCTTAAACAAAAAGAAGCAGGAAGTGAAGATGAAGAAATCATATGGCTTAATGGCAATCTAAAGGTGTTTAAGGCAAAAGATGTTCTTCAAAGATGGGGAATCCAGCCTAAACAGTGCCAAGAGATAGGCATAGGCATGCTAAAGGTAAGCAAAATGTAGCAGTCCTTATGACATTTTGAAAAGCCTAGAGTCGGAGAGAAACAACGTTCTTGAGACTTTGAAATGGGAAGTTTGAGACCTACCTTCCATATCTAGGAGTAGGGAGAGTAGTTGAAAGAGAAATATTGCTGAGAAGCTACACAGCTTTTTTACATCAGCCTTTATGACAAAGAAAGATGTGAAGTCTGCCTATTTCCAGCCTTCTCATTGAAGGTAATAAGGACAGGACACTGTCAAATAGAGGAATCAAAAGTAGTATTGGAACAAGCCTATGGATTAGACCGCAATAAGTCAAAAGGACCAGATGGTATTCATCCAAGAACTCTGAAGGCACTTAAAGTAAAGTGGCTGAGCTGCTAACAAGATGTAATCAATCATTAAAATCAGCTGCTATATCAGAGGCTTGGAGGGGAGCCAATATCATGTTTATCATTTAAAGGCATTAGGAATGATCCTGGGAATTACAGACCAATAAGGCTTACTTTAGAACCAGGTAAACTACTTGAGGAAATTAGTGCTAGTATCCCTAGATGAAGGTGATTTAACAGGAATAAGCCAATCACAGCTTCTGGTAGGCAAAAATATTCTCATTTTAGTTTATTAGAATTCTTTCAGAGAGTTAGAAAACTAGAGGATGAAGCTGAACCAGAAGATCTAATACATTTGGACTTTAATGAAGCTTTTGCTAAAGTCTCTCCCAAGAATTTAGTGAAGGAACTAAGTAGCTATTAGTGAGAAGTTAAGTTTTCTCATGCTTTAGGAAATGGTTAGAGAAAAACAAGGCTGAAGCAGTCCATTTCCAAAAAATCCTTAGGCTGCCCTGAGGATCTGGGTGAACTCTGATGTGGCAACATTAAGAGAGAACTCCAAATAACTTAAGGAGGTTGAGACTAATGAAGCTGTAAACTTGGCACAGGTGGAATACATAAACAAGTGCAGGGTAATGCATGTGAGAGGAGTATTTTGAACTATCATGCACACAGGCTCTAAATGATCTGTAATTTGGACCTAGGATCTAAATTAACTGGAGCTATTCTGGGTGGGAGAACATGCCTGCAGCACCATTTTGAAAAGCTCAAAAATACCTGCTGAGTGAATGGGTGAGGCCAAAGGAGCAAACAAGATATTAGACTGTTTTATGAGAGGGATGTCCTTAAATGCAGTGTTCAGTTTGGATCACATCATCTCAACATGTATATAGGAGAAATAAAGGTCTGTAGAAGGACAGTGGGAATAATTAGACATAGACAGCTTAGAGACAAAAGATTTAGAGCTGTTTTGAAAAGGGAAAGTAGTAATAGAAATGGGACATGAAGATAAGAGTAGGACTTAAAAGTATAGAGAGGGTGAATCAGATGCTCCTATTTACCTTTTATTGTAATGATGAACAGCTCAATTTAACAGGTGAAAAGATGACATACGGATGAAAAGAAATTGTTTTCCTGTGGAACTTGCTTTCATAGAAAAGCTTTATGTTCAAAAAGGATTAGGCTGGAATAACACTTGCAGGTAGAGCAAGCTGGTTCATAAACTTTCATATTTCAGCATACAACCCAACTGGTTGGGATAGGAAGATTTTTTTTTTTCCTATAGGCATGTTAGTCTGTGCTAATGTGCTCTGGTGTTTTTGCACCTTCCTCTGGAACAGGTACAGGGCATTGTCAGATGGGCTGCCTGGCTAAAGTGGATCATTAATCTGATTAAGCATGGTAATTCCTATGTTCCCTATTTGACTAGGCTTTTGAGATGTGAAGGGAGATGAGTTGCTGTTAACTCCATTGAGACCTTCAAATTAAGCCTGCCTTCTAGAACTAACTGGGAAAACCTCCTGGTGAGTAGAGCTGATAGCTGTTTCATCTTCCCTTCAGAGACCAGGCAGGTGGACAGCCTTTCTGTATCACTCTGATGTAGATTTGGGTTGATCTGTGCCTCTGTAAAGAAGGAAATTGAGTCTAACAAAGCAAACTGCAGGATGCCAGTATGAGTGGCAAAGACATTTCAGTACTCTTGCTCCTCTCTGGTTTGCTCTAAATTTGGAGATGGAGATGACTTTTGCCAACTCTGGCATTGACTTTGTTGTCACCTAACTTAACATTATGCTAATGGCTGATACTAGCCCCGTGATAGTTTTACTGGGCCTGAATAAATGGGTTTGCCAACTTCAAGGCTGCTGTATTATATGGTAGCACTTATTCCAAAAGCAGCCTGCATTTACTGGAGGGAGGAGCGATCCCAGTGTGTGGAGATTCTGGAGAATTTCTTCCTCTTCATGGAGGAAGGGAAAAACTCTTATCAGTTCCCTGTAGTTAGTGGCTGTGAGTATTGGGCACCAGGTAGAGACTAGTCTAGGGGTGGGAGACTTATTTTGCAACAGTAGCAAAACCATACTTATGATTAGTCAGAACTGTGTTTAATTGGGGAAGAGAATAGGAATAGCTGATAAATGTTCAAGTAAACTCCCCTGACAAAATAGAATGGAGGTGGGTTTTTGATTTCCTGTGCATTTAATGTAGGGAAGTAGTAATATATTGTGGAAACATCACATTTTCAGCATCCATTTGCAAGCACATACGCTGAGAGTTTACACTCAATTTCCACTTTAGATTGCTATCTGTATAGCTTAGGCCACTATCCTTTATTCCTTTCTTTATTCATACCTAACTTGGGCTGACAATTTGATGGTGCCACATTAATGGTACACCATTGATTGCTAGGCAGTGACCTGCGTCTACACATTACAACAGTTCTATCAAACTCCTGTGGCCTAATTAACTGTAATGTTGATGTTGGCTTCACTCTTGCCAGTCTGAAAATGCCACGTTAACTAATGATGACATTCTTTCCTTGGTAGAGTCCTATCTCTTTGACAAATGACAGCAGACTCGCATAGGAGCAGCGACCAGGCCCAGTCTAACATCGACATTCTTGGTAGTCAGACTTACTGTAGTTGGTGTGTTCTTTGCTACATTGTCGTTGTTCATTTTGAGACCCTGAATTTGCTCTTTTTCATTTTCAGTTTTCAGTTCCTTTGAAAACTTGGGGAAATTAACATAGAAAAACTTCAAAGTTAGCTAACATACTCTGTTCTACTTCAATAACATTTTCTTCAAACACTGAAAAGGTAGAAAACACAGTTAAGGTCAACAACTACACTTGTAGTTTTTACCTACGGCAATATAAAACTTAGAGTCCTATTGTTATGCTTGTTTCATGCTAAGCTTTATTATAAACTATCATGAAGCCTTTATACCATCATACACACAAGGAGGACTAAAAGACACCTGCTTCTTAAGATGAGCTTTTGTTTTGAGTTTCTTTGAAGAAAATAGTGGATAGCATAGGTAGTCTACATTGGAGGGAATCTGCCGTAGGGTAGCTTATACAAGGAGGAAACTTGTAAAATGCTGTTCTGCTTTCCTCACAGGATCCCCAGCATATGTGTGTGTGTGGTAACTCTTAAGTGGGCTCTATATTTCAGATGTGGAAGAAATCAGATTCTGCCCCAGAGAGCTCACAATCTATGGAGCAAGGCCATGTCTTGGCTCTGAAAACAGGTTATTTAAAAATGCTTGTTTTGTTTTAAAGTTTCACATTTAGCTGGTCATGCTTGCCCTGAAGCCAGAGGCCGATGTGAGAGTGTAACCTGTTTCTAAGAGTGGTGTATCCTGTCTGCATTATGCTAGTGTCTTAAACAACAGTTTTAAAACATGTTGGCTAATGCCTTAAAAAAAATTGCCAATGTTCTTAGCATGCAAAGCAAAAAGGGTCTTCACTGGGGGGGAATGGTGTATTGCCTCAGTTCTGGGCTCTCTAGTTTGTTTAACCCCAGGCCTAACTGCCATAGTTTTGTTTCTTAACCCCTTGTCTCTTTGTTTTTTTAACTCTTGTTAAGCCAAGACAGAGACAGGAGTCAGCATAGTGCTGCTTGCAGCAGTCGCTTCTCGGGTCATTCGGAATCTGTTTGTCAGTCTTTATATTTTTAGTGCCGGAGGCTCCAGCTTACTGTGTGCACGGACTCTAGCCAAAACTCATGCTGAGCAGTTGTCAGGACAGTCGGGTACCTGAGATGTGGCAAATCAAGGCAAGACACCTGCATTCACAAATCATTGTGATGGGGTAGAGTGCCTATCTCCTCTCCCTGTAATAGCCTTCATGCCTGAGCTAAAGCTGCAGCAGCCCCACAGCTAAGGGGACTCTTTCCTCTGGGGAGACAACCAATCTGTTTCCATCAAGACTGGATAACTCTTAATTGCATCTAGCAACACAGTTTCTCTGTCCTGTGTCTGAGCAAACAGGGCTGTGCTGGGTCAGCTCCTGGGAGGCTTCCAGGACCTCTGACCTCGTGCTGTGCTATCTGAGATTTAGTTTGACATAGCTGAGTAGCTGATCCTGCAAATGAATTGGTTGAAGTCCCACCTGTTCAGTCACACCTGCCATGGGGCTGGTTCCCCTTGGAGTGAATGTTGAGCCTGGACTTCGCTGCTGCTGCTGACAGGGTGCCAGCCACCCCGCCCTGATTTGTTCTGGCCTCTTGTGGAAGAGCGTACTTCTCCGATTGCCTCCCAGCAAGTTTCCAGCAGCGCTGTGAACCTGGATTCCCTGTTCCTTGTCCTGGAGCACTAAACGCAGGCTGTTTTCTGAGCTTAAACTGACATGTCCCAAACCATTCCCCTAGATTTTTTTTTTTAGCACGGAGGCAATGGCTATCCTGAAGTCCCTCTTTAGTTTTCTGCTTTGGAGCGTGCCGTGACGCCTGCATGCAATTCACATCTATGTTGAGGCACAGCCTTCTCGGACCAAGTGGCACATGGCAGTTTAAACGTACCCACATCTTCCAGCTTGTTTTGGGGGCGTATCCTTTCCGCCAGCTCCCTTCCCCTCCAGTTAAATTACCTTAGTGATGCTGGGACACTCAGCACGTCTGGCATGGGGTACCCTTGGAGCCAGAGGATTAACAGACCAGATGTGGCATCCAGGCCATGAGATCAGGTTCCACATAAGCTTTTTTGGATCCCTAAACCTATATTGAGTGAGCCAGGATTAAGCCTGAGCTGGCTGAGTGCACTTGTCAAGGGTGGTGGGGTGTCAGGCACAAAGTACCGAGTGGCCTTGTCGGGCCCATCTGTCATGCTGGCTGGCCTCCGCAGCCCTGCCTGCTTGCAGGGGAAGCCTCTGGGCTTGGCTGTGGTGGTCCCTAGAAGAGAGCCCCTTCCTTCTCTGAGGAGAAGGGGGGAGGGCTGCTCTTTAATTTAGTTTCTCTGCGCAGGCATCTCTGACTCCCTGAGGCCTGCTGCCAACAGAGCTCTCCTTGTTTACCCAACTCTGAGGAATCGGTTTACAAGGCTCACAAATACCCTTTTCACCTTTCCCATCAGAAAACACCTCCCGAAACAATGAGGAAATTGGATGCTGCCACCTGATAGCTCCCAAGGAACCTGCAGAGTAAGGAATTCACTAAGCAAACAGGCTTCTGTATGTGGCCTGCGAGAAGAGCCACAGAGAAACCAGCCTTTGTGCTCTGGCCATTGAAGACTGGCCGGTTGGCCTGCTGAGACATTATTCAGTGGCCGAGCCTGGAGAGGCTTTATGGATTTTGGGATGGGAGGTGGGCAGTTGCAAACACTAACTGAAAATCACCTCTCAGGCTTAAAGTAATCGACCTGCTAGTAATACAAGTAAACACCACGAGTGAGCCCGTCACTCTCTTTCTATTGAAGCTCCTGCACTTGCTGTGCCAGTAACATTCTCTTTTAACTTAAGTAACCTCTTACGTCTTTCTCACTGCCACCAGGAAAGGATGCTGAGCCGCAGCTAATGAGGAGCTCCAGTATTTGACTGCACCCTTCAACTCCCTTCAAATCGGGGCCGGGGGTCAGACATGGAGAAAGCTGGGAAAGGAGGGGAGTGTCCAGGAGAAAGGGATGGAGTCGCGTTGTGGTGCTGAGGGAGACCGGGAGGCATTATGTTTTTTGAATGCACTTTGTGGTAGAAACTGCAGCTCAGTGAAGACCAGGATGCAGCAGTTTGACTGATCCAACTGGCCCATTGCCCAGACCCCCAATCATAGCAATACTGGGATTTGGGGAGGAGGTGAGGAGGT